TATAAATATATATTTTATATATATATGAAAATATATACTTAAGATACTGTAATTTGGAGGCGTGTGAATGGGGAAAATGTTATCCAAATCTCCTCCTTCTGCCTGCTAAGTGCTCTTCAGATAGGACATGAGGGCCTTTTCCAGCCTTGAAGATCTTTGCTGTCCTTAGCAGGGCAGGGGATGGCTCCGAAAAGAGAGATTTGAGTAAACTGTGGTTTCTCGCGAGCACCTGTGTGAACACACAGAAACACGCAGTGATTAAACAGACTAATTGCAAAGGATAATGAACTTTTGCACGTTTTGCTACGTGCCAGTGAAGACACAGGGCAAGCGCCGTGACCCGTCCTGCAGTTTCTCGTCCCGTTCACACCAGAAAATTAAACTTCAGCCTTAGGGCAAACGTAAAGAAAGTAGGTTTGTAGACATGAAATGTTCGATGTTAGGTCTAATCTGCAGGATGAGAGATGCCAACTCCCCGTTCTCCTAAGTCCCTGACCTTTCCGTTTCAGAAGTGCGTAGTATGAGCTGCGGGCTAAAAGGGGCAAAGGGCTTTTGTGGTCTGCAGTGACAGGCAGGCCTGGGGGTGTACAGGCCACATCAGCCCCACGGCTGAAGCCATCTGGCCACGGCAGCCCTGGCCTCCGCCGTCAGGCCTCTATCTCCTTGGAGCTCCTCTCCTCGCTCCCACTCCTGGGCTCGCGCTCGCCGTACTATGCGCTTGGGTGGTCCAGTCACAAGGCAGGTGCGAGAGCTGCAGTAAATGATGATTTTTAATTGCACAGAGAACGTGTAAGATGGATTCTGCAACACAGCGACTGTTTAGTGGTGAAGGACTTGCGGTTTTTTAGGCTCCTGAAGAGGGGAGATTCCAGCTACGTAAATGTCACAGCAGGTAGGGTCTCTGTATTCCCGCATTCGGCACGCTCCCCGTACTTCCACAACAGATTTTTAACTGTTCTGATATAATTTTGATGTTTTCTGCCTTTTTTGTTTTTTCCCAGAGCAAACTCTCGAAAGTGATAAAGAATATTATGCGAAGTGACAAGCACAAGGCCACGTGTGCATTTTAACAGAACCATTTCGAACTTCTGCGGAGGTCTCTTGAAACACTCCCTGTTTTCTGCACAGAGATGACCTTATTGGCAGGGTAACTTCTTCAATTTGTAACTTTTCAATACCAAAGTGCTGCTGCATCAGACTTAGACAAAAAAGCAAAATCATATATATAAAAAAAAGAGAAAACTTGAGAAACAAATGGTTTTAAATAAGTCCAGCTGTTTTGCTGCCTGCAGCCAAGGATCTTTTTAATTTGAATCCTTTTAATTTAATTTTTTTTTTTTTTAAACATCAAACACTGATCTGAAGTCCTGCTTTCAAATACTCTCTGAGTTGACCTGCAATTGTTTCACTCATTTAAAGGTACATTAAATAATAATCAGCTAATTTGGAACGCACACACGTCAACATCAGCAGTTTGCAATTAACGAGTAGTACAACAACTGCGTTCAGGCCAAACCCTCAAACAAAATAGTGCCATAAACTTTACAGTGACACCTGATACGCTTGTGCTGTAACGACGGGCAGCAGGGATGGCTCTGCACTGACGTGCCACTAGTAGAAGCCTTGCATGTTTGCTACAGGACGGGGGGTTGTGTGCACCCGTCCTAAATACCCTTCCTCTCCCCGCAGAAGCTGGTGGCGGAACCGCTCAGGCCCCTTCTTTGCTAGCCTGCTTTCCAGGCGAGCTCGACAACCCTGTTCAGTTGGAGTTATTTTGCGATGCACGAACTGATCTGTTTTCCAGCGCTCTGGAACGTGGCTTTTGTACTGTGCAGAAATCTGCTGAGCCAGGAGCAAATCTCACACCGGTTCCATCTGGAACCAGGACTTCACCCTTGCCATGCTAACTGCGTGCTGGCTTTCGCTTCTGAAAGACTAGGCGGCCTCCCCCGGCGCTGTTAGGAAGCCCTGGCAAGCTCGGGAGCAGAATGGGGCCATGTGGGGATGCATTTAGCTGGGGAATGTCGACTCTGCCTTAAGAAATACGTACAATCCTGATTACTGATCCTGAGGGTCACCGCTGGTGACGGAGGAAAAGGAGTAGGGAGAGACGACTCTGCTGGCTGGGAAGGCGCAGAAATTCGCAGGGATTTTGGTGCCTAAATGATTTCAGTGGGAGTTGGGCACCTAAATGCCTTTGAGGATCTGAGCCCAGTTAGCTGAGTAAAATGAGAGTGAGATAATTGTAAACAATATTTCTAGGTAATTAGGAAGTCACTTCACCCATCGTTATTCCAGCCTTTTTCAATGTGATAAATTTGACTTTGGCTGCTACCAAAAAAGGCAATTGCTGATCTTTTTTTTTAATATAGGCATATTTAAATAATAATAGTATCAACAAATAAGAAAAGTCTAAATATCAAGCATAAATATCAATGAACTCATCAAAGTAGTACAGTAGTTGAAAATGACCCAAGGCTGTAGCCGTTGTATTAAAAAAAAAAAAAAGTCCAAGAGAAAAAAGTTAAATTAACTCATTGAAAAAGGGGCTGATTCTTTCAGTTGACAAAGCAAGAAAGAAGCAAGCATGATTAAAACAAAATAAAGAGTAAAATCTTTTTTGTTTTTGCAATTTATAAGGTGCCAAGAGAAATAACACAAATCAGATGCAAAGCAGGATGAGCTGCATCCTAAAAAAAAAAAAACAAACCAAAAAAAAAACCCCCAAACAAACCCCAACCCAAAACAAACAAACCCAAAAACAAAACAAAAAAACCCCAGCAATAAAAAATTTCCATATTCTTTGGAATATACAACGTGGTTAAAAAAAAAAAAAAAGAAAGAATTAAGTTCAATGTATAAAACCTCTCATTCACAGCATTGCTAAAACAGAAGCGTTCACAGTTTCCCTCTGGGAATCTTCCTATACTTCCTTACAGTTAATATGTCCATAAGATGCAGTAAACTCACTAAGATTTTTTTAGGTTTTAAGTCTTAAAAATAGAAGTGAACCGAAACTCTCTTTAGGGCTGTGGAGACCTTCAAGCCCAGGCCCGTTAGAAAGCCACAGGCCTGGGAACAGACTGGGTACTGTCCTACCCACCCTCGCTACCTCCGGACCACCAACTCAGTCGTCCTCCTTCCCAGAAGCTCAGTCCCCGGCGAGGGATGCTTTGCCGGAGCGACATCGCTTCGCCTGGGGCTGGCTAACACGCACCACCGCTCTTGGGAGCGCTGGCTTCTGGAGGGTTTCCTTCTCAAAGTGATGTACGAACATGGCAGGGCCCATAAGCAAGTTGGGTGTTTATGGGTTACCTACGGGCCCTGGGAAACGGAAAGCACGTTAGTCCTGGCCCACGACTACTTAAAATGTATTCAGTATGGTCGCCACACCGCTTCCTCTAGCCTGGCCGTGGTCGCCATGTTAGTGGGGGAGTTGCTGTGGCTCCCTTCCGCCTCGACCACTTCGCTTTGGTTGGGGAGGTTGGGGTTGAGGAGCGTCGATCCCGTGGAGGCGTTGGTGCAGGGGGGGTGGATGCGTGGGGGGGACCGGTCTCCCCCTGAGATCATGGAGAACTGATAGGAGCCGGCGGAGGTTCCGTAGTAGAGGTGGTAGGAGGGTGAGCTGGTCTGGAACGGGCTGCCTTGGGCCTGCGACGAGCCGGGGTAGGGAGGCGGGAGGTAAGTGTGGTATCTCGTGGCCGTGGACATGGCAGACATACCGATTCCTATCCCCGAACTGACGGGCGTCGGCGTGTAGGTGAATGCTCCCGGGTAGTGCATCCGAGGGTCGGAGATGGAGGGGAGTGCGGAGAAGGAGCGGTCGATTCCTACCCGGGGGTCACTGAACGCAGTCAAGTCAGAGGCACCTGGGCAGGGGGAAGGGAGACAGAGAATGGTTGAACTGGCAGAGCAGAGGTTCACCTGGTCAAGGAGACAGCCGAACTCCGATCTATGGTTAAGGGAGGAGGTGCTGCTACAGCCAGAACAGAGCTACACCTCACCTGCTCTCCAGCACAGCTGCTGCAATGCTGGTGGATCTGGATGTTTTGGATTAACCTCAGTAAAGCAGCAATTAAAGAGGAATGCCAAGCTCTCACCCCGTTTTGTACGGGTACGTGTTTGCTCTTAGAGACCTTACAGCACACCCAGCAGGGACACAGATCTCAAGCTCCTCGCCCAGCCATCGCATGACTCCCCGGGGACACTGATGAGGCCTAGACATAAATTGCCCAGGCTCTGCACAGTCTCTCCCTGCACCCCGTTTTATTTGCCGACTCAAATGAGAAGCTCCATGGTGCCGGGACCGTTCTTTGGGCACACAGACCTGCACAGGCAGGATTTACACACACAGGCTCAGCCCAGCTGTCAGCACTTAGGAGCTCGGTTCCCCATTAAATCAGGTTCACTTAAGGTCTTCGTATCTGGGTCCTCATATAACGTCTACACAATTGTTACCGACTTGAGAAAATCTTGGCTCTAATGAGTGTGTAAAGAAGGACAGCGATCGTACCGCCTTTTTAAAGCAGAGGGATATATTTGGGGGTTGGCCTTTTTCCTTCCTTTCATGTGCGCTAGAAGCCTTTCTCATCCTGCGAAATGGCATGTTTTATGGGACAGTCAAATCCTGCTCTGCTCTGTCTGACATCCGTGGAAGTGTGCCCGGTCCCATCGTCTCCTTCCCTGGTGCGCAAGGATTAAACAAGCCGGGCAGATAATGGCCTCTTTAGGAAGGATCTTCATCATGACTCAGATTAATGGAAGGTGTCAGTCCCTAGAGTTGGCAGCGAGGCATGATTAAAATAACAACAGTAATAATTAAGAAAAAATCTTTCCAGAAGACAACTTCTTCTGTCAGACGAGGCGTGGAGTCTGCCGAAGAGGAGCCGTGCGCTGAAGGAAATACTCATGAGAAGCAGCAGAGAGAAAACAAAGCTCTTGGCTCTGACCAGATTTAAAGCCAGAGCAGACACACTCCAGTGCCAAGTTCTGAAAGCTCGTCAGCGACACGGCCAGCACGCCTTGATGGATTTCTGCACAGTTCTTAGAAAAGCTCTGACGCATTCTGTACGCTTCTTTTTTGAATTTGCCTTCCATCTTTATGGGGGAAAGATTAATGGGACCCCTGGACACGTTTCCTTCCCCTAGACCCCCGCACCTTTAGACTGAAGATGGCAAGATACGCTACGGTTATGGAGCTGCAGAGCAGCTAAGGCTGAAGGTGGCACCTGACAACCTGCCAGGTTTTAAATGCTACTCCCACGCCTCATTCCTGAGAAAGAAATCAAACTTCTTGAAACTGCCTGGACACATCACTCAGCAGATCAGGGTTTCTTCTGCCCAGTTTGTCAAAAAGCAGAATAATGAGACTTGATGTCAAGGTGTTTCAAGTGTGTCCCACATCTTTGCTTTTTCTTTTGAGGTACCGTGTCTTTAGATGGTAGGGCGTAAAAAAACCCAAAATTTGCTCTGACAAGGAGAAATTACTTAGATAGACACAAGGCCTAGTGCTGGTGCTCTGCCTCTGTGCTCACCACGTGCCACAAAAAATCACAGCGTGCCGTTACCCCAGGCATAAATGGCTACCTTCCCTTAGACTGTGCACTCCTGGGGCAGCCACCACGGAAGCCTTTGGTGCTCTGTATTGGGTCTGCATGGCAAGGTTTTGGTAGCAGGGGGCTACAGGGTTGGTTCTGAGAGAAGCTGCCGGAAGCCCCC